TCCTCTCTCCCGCCCCCTCTCTCCCCCTCTCTCCCCCTCTCTCTTCTCTCCCCTCTCTCCCACTCTCTCTTCCCCTCTCGCTCTTCCTCTCTCTCTCTCTCTCTCTCTCTCTCTCTCTCTCTCTCTCTCTGTCTTTGTCTTGACAAACACACCTGGCTACATGGAGGTGTCATCTCTGAATCAGAGGTTGACGCATGACTCTCCATCCTTCATGGCTGCGTACTGCCGTTGCCCATTCTGCTGTATGGAGAACCCTGGCTCTCCTTCCCCGCATCCTTCCTTCAAGCACCTATTTCACAATGTGTGTCATGTCGTTTTAAGTGGCAAAAGTATTTTTTACCCCTACATTTTATTTCATTCAGTAGGGTTTATCTTGTGTCTAGAATTTGACACACCTCATTGTTCGTCTTTTTTGTTTTCCAACTTATTCTGGTAGCACCACATTTCAAACACAGCTATTTTGTTTTCATCTTTCTTTGTCAAAGTCCAGGTCTCAGCGCCATATATGGGCATAATGCAGCACTCAGCATTTTCTTTCTTAAAGTTTGAGATAGATGCCTGAATTTAAATAGTATTGTGCGTTTGACGAACAAATAAATATAACTTAGACTCAAACTCACAAATTGACAAACATACGTACTCACACACGCAAGCTGCAACCTTTTTTTTTCTCGTAAAGCTTTTTTTCCTTTTTAAAACTCCCAGAGCTGATATTATTCTAACATACAATATAATGTTTACTTTACAATTCGTTGGCCAGATGTTAAAATACACTAAGCCAAAATATTCACTTTTTAAACATGGCAGTTTCTTGATCTACAGTACAAATTGCATGTGCTCCAGAAACATTTTGCCAAATTTCAAAAGCTAAATGTTGAAAAGAGCAAGACCGAATACATAAATTAGGTACAACTGTTAACAGAAGGTGCGATGCTTCATAATAAGTTAGATGAACACGGATAGTCTAGCACAACAATTGTACACTGAAAACACCAACCGACAATGTTGGATGTTTATGGCACTACTGAATCATAACTTAAATTGCTCCCCCTGAAGAGTACCAAATTAATACATTCAAACAAGGAGACATAACTACGACAATTAACAATAGTGAATCAAACACAGTTATTGCTCATTTAACTAATATTACAGGGATATATTACAGATAGAAACATATTTTTCTCTCTCCTGGGAAATGTTGCTTTCTGGGCTTACTAGATTTCATCAGTTTGCAGAAGATGTATTTAATGTTTGCTTGCATCATTCAGTTTAGCAATAGAAAATCAGGGACACTAGATGCAATATTTTATACTTTTACTCACATATGAATCGATTTCAAGTCTTACGCTGGAGACATTTTACTTAACCTTTATACCACGACATACTCTGGGGTTGTTGTGAACTTTAGGGGGGGGGGGGGGGATTTATAGCTAGATTTAGTACCTCATACTTTTAATAATACTGGCATTTAGTGTCAAGAAATACAACTGTATCAAACATAATAATAATCATATATATTTCCTTTAGCCCCCTTCCCCCAATAAGAAAGGAAAAACAACAATATTTAATTTATTTGTGGCTCGCTTTTTCAGACCCCGCCCTTTGGGATTTCTGGACCTACGACGGTTCGCTAACTACACCCCCCTGCTCGGAAAACGTGACGTGGATCGTGCTAAGATACCCTCTCATGTTGTCCATACCTCAGGTTTGTTGTTTGATTACTATTATTATTATTATTAATATTATTATTATTATCATCATCATCATCATCATCATCATCATCACCATCATTATCATCATCAACATCATCATTATTATAATAATAATAATAATAATAATAATAATAATAATAATAATAATTATTATTATTATTATTATTGTTATCATTATTATTATCATTATTATTATTATTATTATTATTATTATTATTATTATTATTATTATTATTATTATAATCGTTATTGTCTTTGTTCTTGTTATTGCTATTGCTATTGTATTCATAACCATTACAATTAATCTTCCTCCTCCTCCTCCTCCTCCTCCTCCTATGACTACTACAATGTACTATTGTTAACATCATCATCATCATCATCATCATCATCATCATCATCATCATCATCATCATCATCATCATCATCATCATCATCATCATCATCATCATCATCGTTACCTCCATTTATTTATATTACTTTAATATTGGCAAAGATAGTACAAGACAAGATGGGCCACTCAGCCTAAAAAGTGTCCGCAGGAAGTATGCTCTTTGCTTCAGATGGCGCTGCAGTCTGTTTTGAAGCTCTCTTTCGTTTTTCCAGAAGAAGAATAAGAATAGCACCTCCTTGCGTGCGCAGATCGACTGCTGTTCATCAGCAGTTCGGGTACGTTCAGTGCGGAGTTAAAGGTTTTTAAAAATTTTAATGACCTCTCGCCCTTCATTCTAAAGTCAAATTAAACGAAGAAAACCATCTCCTTTTCCTCCGGAAGAGGTTTTTTGTCAGCGTAACCATTTTTAAAAAGCGTTCTTCCAAAATTTATCCCAAAACTTGCTAGTTTCACTTTGATTTTTTAAAACTCAAGTAGGATAACTCTGTTCGCAAAGAGTGCGCTTTTGTGAAGAGGGCGCCACCAAATTTTGAGGACACTTTTTTAATTGGCTCAAAGAGAGAAGTGGCCCATCTTGTCTTGTACTATCTTTGATATTGGTAAGTCTTCTTTGCAGAGCTCTATATAAAGTCGTTACACTGTGCTCCCGCTTACACTTATGAACAGATGGAGAACTTCCGGCGACTGTGCACATTTGTCAAAGGCGACCACCCGCACCCAGGGGACGACGGCTTCATGGCAGACAACTTCCGTCCACCGCAAGCTTTGAATGGGAGAAAAGTCAGAGCCTCGTTTCAAAGCTGAGCCGTTTATCCACGATTAACTTGGTTTCTTCAAGTTGAGCCTCGTTTCTCCAAGTTGAACCTTTCTTCGATGTTGAGACTAAGAAAGCGCACTGTGTTCTCTTGCTACAGGATCTTTTGGGTTGTCAACGAGGGAGTGTGACGTTACCACCTCCCCAGACGTGAAGTCCTATAGTCCAGTAAGAGGCGGACTGAGTTTTGTATGGTTTGGACGAACGACAATGTCAGTGTACGTTTTTCTTGCTGGAACAACCACTAAGAAATGCTGGTAAAAACTCCAGAAAAGTTTCAATTGTGTAATGGAAAGGGCGTCAGAAATAGAGAGTTAGAAGCATGAGTTGTTGACAATCGAAGTGGCAAGATCACATTTGGTCATAGGGAATTGAAGGTACAGATTGTATGGCATGCCTAAAATCTCTTATTTAAAGTTCAACAGAAACACTCTTAAATAAAATGAGTGTTATTTGCAATATATTTCTACCTAAAGTTGAATTACAAATTACAGTCTCCGTGGATTCCTTTGGTAGTAAGGGTGGAAGAGGGAAGTTAATAGGGGATATAACTTATAAGCGAATGTCTCACTTGACCCTATACGATAATTTACTATAATTTATGCTTAAACTTTGTCAGCGCAACCCGAACTGTGTCTGTGTCTTAATTTCGTCGTCACAGAAGTGGTAATGCTTTATACTTCTGTCACTTGCAATATTGTAGTCCAGATAGGGGCTAGCTTTCCCAAGTCCTGAGGCTGGATTGAGCGTTTCCGAATATCTTACGAGCTAAAAAAGGAGAAATATTGGGTGAAATCGGTTGAAATTTCCTAGCTCTCAAAAGAGATATATTAAAACTGACAGTTGATCTATAGCACAATAATATGTCCTTCAAGGGAATTTTATGTGATGGCATATTATTAGATCTATTACTTCCACTAGGGCCGGCAACTATAAATTGTAATGTTCAAGACAGACATTTTTCTTTTCATTACTGGTTATTGTTAACTCACTGCAGGCCACATTCATTTTAATGATAATTTCTGGATCGACCCTCCGTCCGGACTGAAGTTACTTGCAGGTCGCGAGCTGTAGTTTGCTCATACCAGCTTTGGTCTGCAGTCTTTAGTCTTTAGGTGAACAGACACCGACTGGGCTTTACCGAGGGGGGGGGGGGACACATTGTCCAAAGTGCAGTTACAAACCATGGTTTACCAGTTTAAAAAAACAAAACATATCGACTAATGAACAGACACAGACCATGGTTTACGGGGAGGGGGGGGGGTGTCATACGCACGCATTGACTAAAGTGCATACACAGATCTTGGTGGGTGGGGGGGGGGGGAGGGGGGTTAATGTCCATTGAATAAAATCCAGACCCAGACCATTGTTTACGGGAGGGGAGGTTCATACACATTAACCAAAGTCCAGACGCTGTCCATAGTTTACTTTTTTTTTTTTTTTTACACATTGATCAAAATGCAGTCACAGACCATACTTTACTTTGTTTCTTTTCTTCATACACATTGACCAAAGTACAAACATAGTACATGATGACAACGGTTAACTGTTTTTCTTCAATACACATTTACCAAAGTGATCTTAACTGAACATTCCAAAGAATATGGTAGAAGCAATTGTCCTTCTTGGAGATCAGAATTACGAACCAGACGACATTGAAAATGTCACAATTGTACATTTGTCCTTTTTAAATCTCGTGATTTGCTTAATGCTTGTTGATCGTAATGATACTGCAGATGTTACTTTCATACATTTCTGTGTCCTGTAAGTCTACTTTTGAGTATTCCTTTCTACAAAGTGTCTTGAATAAAACCCCCCCATAAATACCATTAAATGATGTTATCACTTTAAGCCTAAATATTTTCCTGAGTGTGCGTGCATGCCTGTGTGCGTTTGTGTGCTTATGTGTGTGTGTGTGTGTGTGTGTGTGTGTGTGTGTGTGTGTGTGTGTGTGTGTGTGTGTGTGTGTGCGTGTGTGTGTGTGTTTGTGTATGTGTGAATGTGTGTTGGCGGGGGCAGTTGTATGTCAAATGCCTCAATTTCACAGCGTCATAGTGATCGATTATGATTAATTAATTACATAATTTTACACCGGACATTTACACTTTTCATAATTTAGGAGGCAGACCACTCGAAAATTGTCTATGAATAACAACCCAGGATAGATAAGATACAGCACCTCAACAGGCAGACGGTATACTGGCTATTCACTAAATTATATTTATTGCTCCTGTCGGGAATCAAACTCCCGCAATGACACGGAGTTTATAATCCTTACACTAAAGACGCTGGTAACATAAAGTGTGGCAGACACTGGCGCAACCATCAAACAACTACAGTACCTTCTGTTGGAAACGGAAAAAAGGGGACGTTTAAATTTACGTAATGTAGGTTAACAGTTCGCTGTCTTAGAATTACAACGTTCTATCTGCTCAGAACCCACTTTTGAGAAATTTGACGTAAAAAATTTTTGAGCCTCATAAACAAGCTTTTTAAATGCATTGCTTTGAATATCTTATAAGTTTTCGAAAGAGCAGATAGCGACTCCCGAATAATCATACGGTTTTTATAGAGGAGATAGAACATTTGATTTCTGAACTCATGGTCGTGCGTAGTAATTCAAAGCAGCCAAAAATGTTGGACGAAATTTTGTAATTCTAAGGTAGAGAGTTAATGACAGTGTCTGTGGCTTCTGTTGTGTCATGATTCGGCTCTTCGCCGCCTTGCTCAGATGACGTGGGACCAATTCCCAATTTGGGAAAATATTTGAAGAGCACAAGAGAAAAACGACTGTAGTCACAAACTGGAAATTGTAAGGGTGCCAATTATAAAAGCTTGTGGACTCACAACTTCATATTTGTTTGACTGGTGGTTTATTGTTAAGTGTTGTTGAATGGAAAAACTAAAAGCAATAGCCAACCAACAGTTGAACAGAAATACAATTACGAGTCAATAGGCGTTCAAAATTGGTACCCTCACGATTTTCAGTTTGTGACTACCGTTGTTTTTCCCGTGTAGTCTTCATTTGTTTTGTCACACTTTGTCATGGATAGATGATCAGATTTTGGAAATGGAGATTCTGTCTCTAATGTAGTGTTCTATTTTAGCTGAGCTGCGAGCATAGACATACTTATACTTGTACTCCAAGACCGTTCCTCCCTCCCTCCCTCTATCCCGCCTCTCTCTCTCTTTCTCTTATTGTCTCCTACGCTCTTCCTTTCTCACTTTCCATATTATCACTCTGCCCTGCACATGAGGAGCGAGGCCCAGTACAGGTTATACTGAGTTCACATAACACAATGTATACATTGTTTTTCATTGAACAATCGGCAGGCAATGCAAGATGATAAAAATAGAACAGAAAATGCTGACAATTGCACCTTTGATTGGTTTCTATGGGTTGTAAATCATTTTATTGTACGCATGCATAATCATACATTCAAATACAAACACATACAAACATGCACACATGGACACACAAACAGGGGGATCTCGTGGCCTAGAGGTTAAGGTGTTGGCCTCTCATTCAAAGGTCCCGGGTTCGAATCCGGGTAGCGACCGATACATTTTCTTCTCTAAAATTGTCTTCTTTCACCTCCTTTCCTGCTCTCTAGCAATATTTTGTCGTCTGCTTTCGTCTCC